GGGCTCGATCCCAGGACCCTGAGATCATGACCTGAGCCGAAGGCAGACGCTTAACGACTGAGCCACCCAGGCGCCCCATCTTTTTAAATTTTAATTCCAGTGTAGTTAACAGCCAATGTTATATCAGTTTCAGGTGTACAATATAGTGATTCAGCAATTCTATATAGGAAGATCTTTTCTTGAAGTCACTACTGGAACCCTTGTTAGGAAATTAGATGAAATGCCAATGACCATAGTGCCATGATGCATTCTGAGAATGCTTATTGGCCATGCATAGGTCTGGGGGCACTTCCTAAGCAGCTGAGAGCCCAGAATTGACTCACAGCCCCAAGTAGGTGCTGGGGGCAGGTGCTATGCTGCTCTCAGAGAGTCAGGGGCCACGCACACGAGGTTACTTTGAAGTGCCCTCACCCCCTGAAGAGGCACTGGATGTGCTTTGGAGCGGGGGAGCCTTTTAAGGTCTTGGAGTCTGGTCTTCATAGATGTTTTTCAGCACGGTCTTGGTTCATTAATAATTTGCATTTGCCACCTTGACAACTTTCTCAAATATAAAATCCACTGCAAAAATCTTTGATTTTCCTCCTTAGTTCTAAAAAGTGAGTTTTAAAAGATTCCTATTGCTGTGCCCATCAGAATATCATTTAAAAAGCTTCAATTCTCCAGCCACTTATGTGTTGCCTGCAAATTCTTTAAGGTTTCTTCGGCAGATCTGGGGAGATGTCTAAAGCAGTCCGCTGCTTTCACGCAGCCCAGTCCCGCTGTTACAGAAGGATTCTGTCAGCTCAACACTGGTTAAATAAAACCGTGCAAAAATAACATCAGAGAAACAAATTACCTATGACCTATTTCCTCTGAGGAACCAGGTTTCAACCTTCCCTTAATTTTCTCTAACTGTGGGGCTGTTGGAAGGCACTCATTCTTAGGGGTATGGCTCATCCGCTAGTGGAGACTGTCATATCTAATTGGTGTTTCCTTCAGGATCACATGGCCTATTGTTCAAACTTCGCTATCACTATTTGTTCAAATTATATTTTATTTCTCTTTAGATGTTTATTATTTTTTACTTTTTTAGACATTTATATTTTAATATTTAAAATATTGCATTCTAAGTATGCCAGTTCACATTTCTCAAATGTCTGTTTAAAAGAAGGAGAAGATGAATTCTCTTCTTGAAAAAAATCACATGTGCCATTTAGGAAGGCAGAGCACACCCAGATGAAATAATAAAAGAAAAAAATTTTTTTAAAGATTTTATTTATTTATTTGACAGAGAGAGACACAGTGAGAGAGGGAATACAAGCAGGGGTAATGGGAGAGGGAGAAGCAGGCTTCCTGTGGAGCAGGGAGCCCGATGCCGGGCTCGATCCCAGGACCTTGGGATCATGACCTGAGCTGAAGGCAGACGTTTAACTACTGAGCCACCCAGGTGCCCCAAAGAAAAAATTTTAAAGCAGTAAATTGACAGGTGCTAAAGAATAATTTGCAAAAATGAGCAAAGTTCAAGGGCAACTAGTTAGAAAAATGAACAGACCCAGGCAGTGTACTCAAAAAGGCTTCTGGGAGGCAGTGAAATTTATTTTGGGTTTTGATAAAGACACATTTGGATTAGAGAAAACTTGTGAGGGGACATGTTAGACAAAGTGGATAATTAACTTCTGTGAAGGGTAAGGAAAGCAGCTTTTATTTCAGATAGTTGTGGAACCATAAAAACAATTAGCTTGTTTTTTCTTACATTGTAAGATTTAGGATGAATAGGAGAACATATATAGCAAACAATCTATTATAGCTACTCTTCGTTTCTTCCAATTTATTGAAAATCCCAGCTACATTTTTAGTTGCAGATTAGCCCACAAATGCTCTAATATTGACTGTTTTCAATTTTGTTCCACCAAATCGTACTTGCTATATCATTTTTCATCTAATGCATGTCTATAATTTTTGGCTTTGTTCTCTTACATGACACTAAATGATTGTAGACCAGGCAAAGTTTGTATACTAACTCAATGACTCCCTATCTACCAGCTGTTGTGTTTTTTCCCCCTCCTAAGTGGAACAAACTTTCTTCTGCAAAAATTTACTTTAGTCACAAACGGGTGTTTATGGTCATTTTAGAGAGAAAATTCCATAAACCCAAGTGAGCACTGCTGTTTTGTTATGCCATCAGGTCAATGCTGGCAAATGGAAACCAGCATCTCCCAGTGCTCTGAAGTGGGGGCATCTTTTTTTCGGCTTCTTACTGACTGTGAGAAATGGCTGGATTAAAGCAGCAAAATATTTCAATGATGCAGAGCAAAGGTGACTTCCTGTTTTGTTTTAGGGTTTGTTTCCTTCTCTTCTCAATGAAGGCTGTGTTTTCTGACAGTCTGCAATCCTTTTGCTGGGTGAAAGGGCAGGGTGCAGGGCCTCTGTAGGTCATTCCATTTACAATATGCCCTGAGAAGGCAGAGGGGGAGAGGAAGGAAAAGGGGCGGCTCATTAGTGGAAGGAGCAGACCAGGAGGGGATCTGTTTTCTATTTTCTTCTCTAGATTGAGCTAATTTGGATGGGAAGGGTTTTATTGTTGTCATCATCATCATGATTATTATTACCTGTGTGGTGTAATTTTCCTGCGCGGTTCTCTCAAGTGTTAGGTGAAATTGTTGGTGACAAGAGATAAATAATTAGTGTCATGTTATTGTAGGAGTAAAATCAGAATAAAAAATATCCAAATACTTCAAAGCAGGTAGTTTTTTACTCTTAACCTTAAGAAGCAAAATTCAAAAATTCTAATTCTGCAGGGCAAAGAAAAAAAAAATTTAAACCTGTTTCTTGCTTCTGGTAGCCTGCTTGTAATTATGTATAGCATTTCTTCTTTTCTTTCTTTCTTT